TCGATTTCATTGGCTTAAAAGTAAAAAGACGGACAATGTGATATTTTTGTTTCTGGCGATAAAGGTTAAGGTTTTTCTTTAACTTGAATCAATTACAAATCAAATGACATATCAAGTTTATCCTTGCTTTAGCAGAGTATGCGAGCAATGATGCAAAAATAAATAAATAAATAAATAAATAAATAAAGAGGAAGAAAAATATCATATAATAAATCAACTTTAAGTAGAATTTAATTTTACTTTTCATTAACAAACTAGCGGATAATCAATTAATCATCACCTTCATGCATTCTCGGTAATATGCGATGAATCATTATTTGTACGTCCGTATTGGTATAAAAAGTTGATAAATAGCGCTTTGATTTTTACTAAATTTATGCAAGGTTCACTTCACTATCGAGGGTAATTAAATTTATTCTCTTTTTTTCTTTTTCTTTTTTTTTTAACGCATTTATCAATTTTTAGGTTTTGCTTCGGCATGAAAATCCAACTTACAGTCAAAATTTTAATAATGCAGAACTTTCAAATTGAATCGCGAAACCATTAACCCAATTTGTTGCTGAATTCTTTTATTTAAAAAAATAAATAAATAAATAAATAAATATATAAACAAATAAAAAAAAAAAAAAAAAAAAACAGCAACAAATTATGGAAGATACTTAAGACAAAATAAACGTCGAAACGAACTTTGAATTCATTATCATACTCGAAAAATTTATCGAAATCGGACAGTTTTTTTTTTTTTTATTTACTCTACAACGCTTGTAGTATATTAAGTTTATGCGGATGTGTGTTACATGTAAGAAGAAGTTAACAATATCGTCTTGTATATGCGGTAAGCTTGTCTTTCCGTCTACCCGTATTATTTTCTTGGGTTGAATAAAAATCTTTTGATGAAATTTGATATTGAAAATGTTGCAAATCCGATCACTTTCTCATAAAACGTCCCATTTATGAAATCGTTATACGAATAACTAACTGTAGGTATAGGTAGGGGTAGGTGATGTGCCATCGCATTTTTATAGTTCTTTTACTTGTTTTTATTTGCAAACACGCGTTAATCGTCGTCGGATTGGACCACTTTTTCACCAAAACATTTACTCTAAAATTTCTTTGCATTTAGTCACTCTTTTGCTTACCATAGATGGTTTATGAAAAACTAAAGTTTACTTTTAATTTTCTTTTAAAAAATAATTCATTTTGGACTATCCAACGGCACAGGCTGTTGAGATAGCAACTAATTCAAATTCACCTCAAAGCAAATAATGATCTTTTCATTTTGTTGCTGATAAAAGATTTAAAAAAAAAAACATTTTCCTCTACGCGATTATGTTTTACTTTTACATATATTTTATCTAATTTAACTTAATTTCAACTTGCCCCTTACAAACGTATTTCATAATTTAAACCAATTAATTAATCCTAATTTCAAAACAAAAAAAAAATAAATAAATAAAAATAAAAATATAAAAAATTAAAAAGAAAAAGAAAGAGAAAGAGAATGACACCAAAAAAGAAATAAAAACCCGAGTACGACTTAAATGTGAATAACGGGAAAAAATGTTATTAAACAGGTTTCAAAAGCTTTATTATTTTATACAACAAATTAAAAAAATTTATTGCAACAGACATTTTTCCAAGATGCACCTTAAGGCGAACCTTGGATACTCACCATCTCAATAATTCCAAAGCTTTTTTCTTAACTGCGTTCGATCAATCGCTAAAGGCCATGCGAAATATTTAGACAGCTTTGCTATGGATTTCTACTCAATTTCAATTTATTACGCGGAGATTATCGACAATATTTAAAAATATTCGGTTGCGAAAGTTTTTCCATTTTCACGCTTCACATTTTATAGGAAGTGGGCGCTTTATTTGGAATTCGATCTGTAGCTTTTAAATTTTCTGCATCAACTTAATAACGAATGTTATTGTGATCAGTCCATCATTTTCAGTATATCTGGAAAAATCAAATTTTAAGGTCAATTGTAGACATATTTTTCTACCAAAAGACAAATTTATTTAAGGTAAATACGTAAATCTATAAATATCGAATCGTTTAACAAAGGAATCTAACCGGCTGATAATAGACGTCGTTTACATCTATGGCATCAATTTCAAACCACAACAAGTCACGTCAATCAATATTGTTCGTGTCCTTTCATTTTAGCGGATGAGACAAATCATTTCATTTATTCATTTATTAGTTCCTCCAAACGTTCATACCCAAGTTTATGCAGTAAAAGATCCTTATTCGCGGGAGATACGTGCAGCGAATACAGAAACCGCGAATACGGAATTTCGCTTGGATACCTACTAGAATCGTTTCATTCTTATGTATGTGCGTATTAGAATCCGCGAATAAAGAAATTTATAGCCGCGAATAGAGGAATTGCATCGCATTTTTTTAACCCGCGAATGAAGGAAGCGCGAATAAGGAACGTTTACTGTATATACCATGCTTCCTCCGAGGGCTCCCACAAACATATTTAAAACCATTCATCACTGCACAATATTGGTTAATATTATGCAGAGCATAAATGTTTGTTGGGAGCCGTTTTCTTCCAAGTTTCACGCGCGGACTTATATGCGTAAGCTTTCCCTCGAAAGTTCATGGATTTCAATGTGTTAGTTCGGGCAGTTTAGATGCGGCCGTTCGGACTGGTGCTCATTCTTGTTATCTCGAAATGCGGGGACATTAAATAATTAGATGTGCTTGGACCATACCCAACGTTTCATATCTGGAACCTTGATCTTGGAATAGACCCTTTCTCTTGCAGGATTGTCTTACAAGCTTAGTGGTGCTATAAATCACTTATAATTATATATGGTTCTAAACAGCCATCAAAGCAAATGCAGATAATAAACACTTGAGACCCCGTACCGGATGAGCCAATGGCTCTTTTGAGAAGGTATGGCCAAATTGCATTGCCTACCCAAAAAATCGCACCAAATGATCGATCGTTCTGATTGAGCAGGTGAGTCGACTGTTTCACTTTTGTTTTTAGCACCAAGCCACCAAACGCGCCAGTTTCGCTCGTCTACTTATATAGAAGGACTAAAATGATACAATGAACATTATATATGCATAAAATGTTATGATGCAAAAAAAAAAAAAAATTGAGGAGAATTTTTATTTAACTCATGAACTAAGACCCTTCAGACCGATTCATGCCATTCAGTTTGTTTGCTTATAAAGTAGAGCTTCTGTTGGAAATCGTTGGAAATCGTTGTCCGCGTATGTTAACCATTTCGGTTTTTAATGAAGCAAAAGCAATTGTCACGAGGACCAGGATCCATTAACGGTGAGAATGCACGATGTTTGTGAAAAGACAAGATTTTCACTTTTTTAAAAAAATTTACGCGCAATTTTGAAAGTATGCGTAGCGACATTGGGGTAATGCAAATATGAACATAGACTTGGACAAACACTTCATATAATAGTTTTTATTAGTTACTTGATCCTCTGATAATCGGAGAATGCAATCAATATGGTTTCGATTTTTCGCTTGCTTTAGTGTAGTGTTTTCTGGTTTGCCTTTAACATCATTGTTGGACTATTTGCAGATTGTAAACACAAATCTATATCTCTTTTATCGCTTGGATAAAGCATACCTTCAGACACTTGCACACTATGTTTTGCTTTAAAACATCGCATTCTTCTCCAGCAAGACGATAAAAAAAATTCGACAGCGTGCAAATCGTTTTTATAAAGTAGATTAAATTATTTCAATTAAATTTCTAACCATATGTGCAAAGCCTTTAATATTTCGAATAACCTCGACTACCACGTCAGTGTTCGCGGATTCAAATCTCAAGTGCGGCAGATCGTACTTTGGTTGTAGGCGCAGTGAGTGATCAGTCGGTAAAGACGTGACACACATGCGCTAGGCTGCGGCTACCACCTTTCTATCTCTTACTCTTTCCTCACTCCTTTCTGATCGCCATAGAGGACATCGCCTAAGTGATTCGTTATATTAAGGGAAATGAAAAAAAAAAAAAAAATTCACAATATTTAGTGGACAATTGCTAAGTGAAAAATCCTTCATTTTTGTTTTGGTTTCTCCATTAGTGGTGGCGGTTAATAGTCTTGCCGGACATGATTAGTCTTGGAAAACCCATAGGCCCTTAACTATGTCATTGCTTTGTTATCAAAACGTAGTCTTAACATTTTCAATGTATCTGCAGAATCATTTTATTCGTTTTTATACCATAGATCACTTATGGTACACTTATGGTGTATTAACTTTATTCGAATGCATGGAAGGTTCAGAAGGACTGGAAAAAGATTTAGATGTTATATAACGCCTCATTTTGAAAAGTCGTTATATATAAATAACTGTAAAGTGATGTAGGGTATTTATAGAGTGGATTTTAATTCGTTTTTACTTGCTTAAACAGAGCTTAATGCAAATTTTTTATTTACTGAAATTATTTAGTATTAAAAAACACGTCGAGAAAAATTTCCAATAACTGCCAAAGACGCTCTAATTAATAAAGTTGTAAATCAAGTGACAACATCACACGTCTTTTAGATGTAAGATAGATACGATAAGATAACGACCTAACAGAAATAATAAATCAAAATAAAACACAACAATTCCGCTGATTTTTAAACGTAATCTATATATAGATTATACATTAAGATCGATGATTGTTTCAGTTCGTTCAGTTTGAACCGATTCGCGAATATTGAAACTTGCCATTATTCCATTATCAATTTGTATTCACAATCTTACAATCGTAGGGAATTCCAACAATAAAAGATTAACGAGAGCATGAAACCTTCAATAATCAAAAATCAAAATTCTATGCCTATTAAAAAAAAAAAAAAAAAAAAAAAAAAAAAAAGTTTTAGACTTTAATGCATATTTCTGCGGGTTACCATTCGATTAACAACATTTTTATACAATCAACTTTCGGTGGCGGTTATATCTAAAAAGCAATAATGCAGGTTTATGCGGTTTGGCTTTCTAGAAAAATATGAATATAAATTTTATTTTATATTATTATTATTTTTATTTTTTTTTTTTTCTTTTTTTGTTAATTCTAATTGTGTAAATTATATTGCAAACGAACGAATACACTGAGAGAATTTTATGAAATCAAATAGGCGAAACGTAATGTGCTTTAGCTCAAGTTATGCAAAAAAACTGCGACCGTAGACGCAGTCCATACGATTGTAGGTGAATTTCATTGATGTGGGGCGAGAATATTTTTCTTCCAATGTAGAACACATTTGCTCATAGTGATGGTAATATATTGCTTTATAAGTCGTTTTGGATGGCACGAGTCCAAGATGTTTTTGTGTTCTATGTAATATTATATTTTTTGTGTGTAAAATACTTTAATTAATATTTATACCCACTTACATAGTAATACGTAGATAACATTTCAAAGCATCATTCATTGTGCAGCGATGCACATGTAATCATAGGCAGACGTTAATATTATTCAATTTATGAGTATAATACGGCTATATAAAAATGTATGTATAAATGTGTGGAAACACGTGTAAGTAAATTACGGATGGCATCATTTTTGCCTATTATTTCTTTTTAATTTTTTTTTTTTTTTTTTTTTTTTTTAAATTTTTCTTTAAATATCTCGCATTAGTACAAGTTCATATTGAATTTCTATAAATATTTGCGTAAAAATCAATTGAATCTGAATTTTGCATTAAATTAGGAATCGAAATGAAAATCTTCTTTCAACACTTTCACTAATACAACAATATAATGAAATTCGGGATTTAATTTTCCTAAAGAAATTTTTAAAGGCTTTCAAACGTCCCTTAAGTCCCTTTTCATATAAGATTTTCTGTTTTTAAGAAAAATTTTTTTTTTATAAAATAATAAGAATCAAATCATATATGATTTGAAGACAATTTCAGGTATCTATCGTCTAAGAGAACAACATAACGTCACATTTGTCAGAGGGCCGAATAAATCCTCCTTAGGCTATAAATATAGAGTTTATTTCTAAATAATTAACTTCACATAGCTCTAGGCTGCAAGTTGAAGGCAAAAATACATTGCAAGTTTTCAAGGGCTTTCCCTACAATCTATATTAAAAGTCGTGCTGCTTACGGATCATACATGTCCCATGTCATGGATTATGTCTTAATCAAGTTTCATATATATCAATATATTATATGTTCGTATGTACGTGTCAATTCTTTATAGTTTTTTTTTCTTATGACACGAACAAGTTAGTGGTGGGTATTAATATAGTTGTTTCAACCTGAATATGACTTTTCTTTTGCTTTTTCGTTTTTTATGATATATTTTCATATTTTCATATTTCATTGACTTTGGTATTTTTATTATTGTGACATATATACATATATATATATTATATATATATATATATATATATTTTATCATTGCTGCTTATATTGTTGTGTTGTTAAATTTTTTACGATTGGAACTGAAATATAATTTTACCGTGCGAAACGCAACCAGGTAGTACTCGCTTGCTTTGAGAAATTTTATAACATTTAAAATAGTGTGGATATAAATAAAAAAAAGAAATAAAAAAGAAGAACGAGAAAAAGAGAAAAATATGACGTGTTTTTTATGGAAACCGTAGGGAGAGTATTTAAATAATTTATTAAATTACGAACAGATCTCCTCTTATTGATGCATGCTTACGCTTAACACATACTCGAAACCTACTTTTTTCATTTCTATTTTTGAATAGATTTCGTCGTTATATCAACAACTGAAACAAATAGCGTACAAGCACTAATATATAAGCTTTGCGTACTCGAAATGTGGAGCAAGTTAAACGGATCAGGTTCGTTTCATCAAACAATCCATTTCAATGAATAGAACTTATTAGTGCACCTAATATTTGTCTTTTTTTCATTTGCAAACATCGCACTTGTGAAAAAGTTCTGTATAAATCTAGTTTAAGACAACTCTAAGCAATTACGTATACTAACACTCAGCATTATTCCATATACGTTAAGCGAGATATAACGAATTCCTATTCAGATCTGTCTATTAACAAATCAAATCAGACGAATCATCGCAGCACAGAAAATGAGTTAACATAATTTGTAGCGAAACGAAGTTAAGCAAACTCACACAATTGTTGTTTTCTAGACGTTGTATCATCAAAGCAACACTAACACAATATGAGCAAAAACAAAAAAAAAAACAAAAAAGAAAAGCCAATTACATCGACAATGCTGAGAATGAATTCATAATAAACAATATACAATCACTTATGAAACGAATTTCAAACACCTTCCACATTAATCCTCTGTTATTAACGTCATTGTGACTTTTTATTGAAAATCATAGTATCTTTTACAAAGATATTGATTCCATATCTAATAATAAATATACATTACTGATACGTTATTGAATCCATGTCGCGACTACAAGAACCTGGGCCATGCATGAAAAGGGAAAGTGAGAGTGAAACTATCTACTTATAGAGTTTCTCGATTCATTCGCTAACATATAGGATTTCGTATTAAGGGACCCCTTCACGAGGCCTCGTTTTCAATAACTAGTTTCCGAAGGTATATGCAGCGGGACAAAATCATTCTTTTCCTTTGTACTCACGAGTCGTGTAGGACACTCGGTATTGGTTATATGCGCAAAGGATTTATTCGTTCGTTGAGACTGCTTTATTGCCATAAGAACGTTATAAAATTTAAACACCGATTCCTAATTCCTTAACTTGACCATTATAACGAATATAAGGCATTGTCTGTAGTGGTAGAAACAAACTTGAAATCGAGCAAAACGAAACCGATGCATCCTCATGGAAAAATCCTTCGCATCTAGGTGTCACTTAAGCAGTCATAGAAGTAATGAACATTTTTTTGTTATAGAATGACATAAAGGAAAGCTCACAGAAAATCTGAAATTTTATGTGAGTTCATTACGTGCATTCACACCTTCAATATTGAGTTAATAATTAGAAAACAATGGTTGATGAGCAAACAGCTATCCCGACACCATGACTTTAATATAATGCAGAAAATTGTATATACATGTTTACACGCATTGATTTAGTCTAGATTTTCTTATTGAGGTTAGAGATATTATAATTTGATTGAACATATGACGATGAAGATGATGAAGGCAAAACACCCGAAGATTAGATATGGAAAATGCAGAGAAAAGCTTTGTGATTAGCAAAAGTATTAAAGAAAATTGTAGAAGAATCAATAGAAAGTTAATCCTCAGCTTAAGCAAAATTTTCCCTTATCTGTTTCGCTTCTTTGTAATGAATATTTTCACTTTTTTATTATGGATTTACAAAATCCATATGGTTGAAGTGGAGACTAAAATCATCTGGAAATGTAAGGAACAACTTTTTAAAAAATATCTACATATCGAAAAGAAAAATGGTTCAGATACTATACTTATATATAGCGTTAGGGAAGTCAAATAACTGATGGAGTGTTGAAAGGTGAAATTTGATAAAAAGTAATCAAAATAAAGAATGATTTTCAACGGCTTGCCTGATGGAACGATTATAAGATGTATGGACAAAATTTGAAAATCAAAATTGATTTATCCAATGCCTTTAGGCGAGAAAGATTTGAAACAATTTTAAGCAAGAGAGAAGATCAAGCATTTCAAAGATAATTCGATCTTGATACTCAACTACGCAAGTCGATTAAATGCAGGTCTGCGATGAAATCTAATTCACGATACTTTATTACACAGTTTATGGCGCGTCTTTAAAACAAATGGCTAGGAATGCTCACTGATGGCTTATAATTCCGACGAGATGGCGCAACCGACTACATAGCAGCTGAAGGAATCTGTGCATTGGTAACGGGTGCATTTGCCGATAAATCCTTTATTTACCTTAGATCGCAATATATTCAGGGATAGCCTCGAAAGGAATACGTTGTTGCTTATGTTTATTTATTTGTTTGTCACTTCTAGCTACAATATACATTCAGGCGAATTAAGTTATAGTATTAAGATTAAAGATCATTAGGACATTACAGAGAAGATCATCGATCAAGAGCACGACAAACTTCAAAATACACTGTTGCAGTAAAACAGTTTTTTTAGAATATCTTTTAAGCTGATTACGAATCAAATATACTCGAGTCTACTATGACCTTATCGCTAAGCATATTAATCAGAAGCAAACAGCAAAGTAAAAGTAAACGGTATACAATATTTTTAAGATAACAGCACTGGGATGCGAGCATAAGCCTAAATAACTACATACACACTTACTTGGAAAGTGTACTCTACCGTATTAAGATTCAAACGTGGCAATCGCAAGTTATATGCCCTCTCTTATGCGGTAGGCCCGCGAATTCACGAATACGTATATCGCGAAAACAAGTTAAAACATTGTAGTCTGGCAACGCTGTTCGTTAAGTATCATACATTAGTATCTCGGCGCCGTGACTTATTCAAAATACAAGATCATATGTGAAGTGACCGTAACAGTCGTGCAAGCCAATCTATTTTCATTGAGATCATTCCTAATATTTACCCACGACATCAATTCATATCATTATTCAGAATCGATAGAATCGATTCTAAATCCACTAATTAGGAATCGATTTATTACATCGAATTTTTTGAATCGGTTGGTGTAATAAAAGATGGGTCCATCTCAAATCTTATTCTTAAAGAAAAGCTTGAAAACCTATTACTTCTGGTTTGATCGCAATCAATTAATTTCTTAAATATTTAGTTAGATATCTTTTAATTTAATTGAATAAATCGAAACAGAATCGATACATGTGACTGGAAGCGAACGGTTATCGAAATTGATTGCAATCACCTGGGACTAGATTTTCTATACTATTTCTAAATTTATTTGTGCTGAATAGCGAATAGCTTATTATGATTATATCGTTTAGGGTAACAAAATTTTAATAAATAAGTTCGCTTCCGATATCTGCTGGCAATATATGTGTGTTATGAAGAAACAAAAGGGCAAACCAATCATAGGATGGATCGTCGCACCGTCGAAAAGAAATGAAATAAAAAGCGTATAAGAAACGAAAATGCTTCGTCTGCTATTGAGCCATCCGAAGGATTTAATTACTTTCGAAAGTATATATGTGAGTTTCAATGAAGATAAAGTTGGGATTAAATTAAAATATACTAAGCTTTTAAGGACAAAGATAATCGACATAGTTTATAATAGACTTTACTGGTTAGAAATTAAAGTAAAAAATTTCTTAATTTTTTTGCTAAGTAAAAAATATGATGAAAGACCATTTCAATTACGTTATTTGACTAAGTCTGATGTCATGATGAATAAAAAAATGAAATAATTACTTTTGGATCAAGTTTTTCGCATTTGATTAAAAATGTGTGCCCGCAACATGTCGTTAAGCCTTATAAACCAAAATGATATAAAATAAATGGAGTAAATTTCGAGCAAAGCTTCCTTAAAATATATTTTATGAAACTTGAAAGCATTTGTCAAGATCAGCAAAATATTTTACCCTTAACCATAACCTAACTTAAAACGCATTTGCTAATTAACCCAGTTTAAGTCAATTCGTAATATTCCAAGCGATGATAAGGAATTCGTTTATTACTGTTTGCTATCTTATCTCAAGCAATAGCAAGCAGGCAGATGTGTGCAGTCATATTTAAGATTCATAAGTTTAAGAATATATGCATACGAGCTTATTGCTGTTCTTATTATTATTATTATTATTATTATTATTGTTGATAATAATCATAATCATGCTTATAGTTTTTGCAAGTGTGCCGCACTAATTAAACAAATAAACAAGAAAAAAAAAAAGTGTCAATAGAAAAGCAAAAACTATGAAAACGGTATCATCTTTACGGCGAGTTTACGCATACATCTGAGAGCGTTCATAATTAGTGTTAGAAATTTTGAATTTTCATTTGAATAAATGTGTTAAACTTGACAATAATGCATATGTATATATATATATATGATGCGCTAATTGAAAAAATAAATAAAGTGTTACGCGGCATAAGTATGTATAAGCAAAGTGTGAGAGTTAGCAAATTAAGAGTAAAAATTAACACAGTTTTCTCTATCATTTCAATAGTTACGATTAATGACATCTACTGAACTACACTTATAATGTCATTCTCAATGCAAAAATTAAAATCCATTTTACCCGGTACACCGCAAACTGTAAAGAAGACAACTAGTACGACGTCCACGACAGTTAAACGTCAAACGGAAATATTAGAGCCCGAAATTGGTTTTCAAATTTCCATCGAGCTGCACGAACAGTCATCTAGCGGTGCAGAATTCAATGGCAATAAAGCGTTAATGCCTGAGTTGAATGTGCACTTAATAGCGGCACGCCATCTACCGTCATTATTTGGCTTTAAAATTGTTCAGGGTTACTTGATTAAAGTAAGTATTCTAGCGTAGACAAGAATCTGATGATCGTAAATATATAAAATTATAAATTATTTTCTTTCTTACCTTGAACGTATTCGCTTTATTGTAGGTTAAACTGTTCCCCGGCACTAAACGGCTAGATAGCACAATACAAACTAATACATGGCCAAAATTCAATGAGCATTTTCGTTTCCCATTGGCGCCAGATATTAAGTAAGTCCAAAGCTTATTACCAAACATAACTTTAAGTCTATAAGCTTAAGGTATAAGGCAAGCATTGCTCTTCGATAAAATCATTTTTTTTTTTTTTTTGTTCTAGTTTAACTTTATATGCACGAAAAAAATATTTTTTTGTAAGCTTCAAAAGTTTTATAAAAAAACTATCATAACTTATAGTCCCTACGTTTCCGATACGCGACACGCGACACGCGACACTCGCAAAAGCACTGAATAAAAAGCTATGAAGGATTGAGGTAAATAGAAACTGCATTAAATGAGAGGTTGTTTTTTTGATTTTTTTGTTTCTTTGTTAAGGCAACAAATTTCTTTAGGTAAAAAGTAAATTTTTAGACATAGCATCGAAAGCATCGAGTTGTAGTCATTTTTTTAAAAAGTTTCCTATACCTAATACCTAGTAAGTGGCTTCAGAGAGCCTATAATCGGTATAAGGAGTAGACGAGCATCGTGTCCTGAGTCAATCTAAGTAACCCTTTCCTAGGCCGTCCAAAATTAAGATATCGCCTTTAAGCCTGATGAAAATATTTCACGTTCTTGCAGATAGAGTAGTGTTGAAAATGGGCCGAATCAGTCAAAGGACACATTTACAGTATAGCATAATCTGAAATAATTTCCGCTTTCAGAAGTAAAAAAAAATAAATTCGGCTTTTACCCAACCAATATTTTAGAGTGTCTAAATTTTATTGTTGTTGCTTTTTTTCATAAATTCAATATCAATAAGGAAATGGCCGGCCCGTCATTCAATATCATATACCAGTTGGTTTATTACAATTATTCAAATAACGACTTTTAAGAATAAGGCTTTATATATTTGGAGTGGCCCAAAAAATGGTTCAATCCGAAAGAGCGCTCGCTCCTGGAGCCAAAACAACATGTCAATGCAGAACATTTTTTGAAAATATCACAAAAATTTGCGACCTATACATTGAACACAAGAAAACAAGGCAGGTAGACGGACGGACGGGAAAGCTTAAACCGGGCCCAAAAGTGATTCTGAATCGATTGGTGTAATGAAAAGTAGATCTATCTTCTGGGGTTGCATACATCTGCACAAACGGGGTATACGCTTGTACCACAATTGACGTAGGGTATAAAGAGAACAGATTACGCTTCCTTTTTAAATTAGAGCGCGATATTAAAGCATTTCACAAGAATTACTTGATCCTAATTTAAAAGCTGTCGAATATCTTTGGCGCGCAATATTCACACGGAAAAATATTCGGCCGATATGGCATAGCCTTTATTGATCTCAATAGCCTGGACTTATATGATAAAAAAAAAAAAAAAAAGAAAAAGCAAGAGAACAAAAAGTATGGCCGATTCCGGCGCTAGAATGTAGTGATCTGGATTATTGCAAAGTTTAACAAATGTAGCGACGCAATATTTTCTTCATCGTTGGGATTTCTATGTTTTGATTGAGGTAAGATTAGTATTCAGATCTTGTTCCCAAGACGTTCAATTGTGTCTTTATAAGTGCGCAAACTGGGGACTGCAACAGACAGAAGAACGAAAGTAAAAACTTTGGAAGACTTGTAAATGTGGTTGAGGCATATATTGTTAAGCGAAACGATATACATTCAAACTAAACATAATAAGAGAACCTATAGATGATTGGCCACTATAACGGACTCTGTCATGGAAATAGGCGTAAAAGCAAGCCTGTTCGAACAAAATCGTGTCAAAAACATGAGATATATAATTTTGTTGTATAAATTATTTCTAGCGACAAGTTTTTTTCCTTTAGATACTTAGACTTATGACACTGATCGAGGCAATCAACCTACAAAGAACAAAAAGCAATAAGCGACTCAGTAACTGATAACTGGCATCGATTCCGTAACAATCGAAATTTCCGCGGAAAATAAAAACGTAAATAAATTAATTAATTTGAAAAATTTCGTAAAAGTTTCTTTTATGAAAGCTTTATACCCCGCAAGATAAACGAAGACAATAACAACGATAATAATAACTGATCAGCAAATATTGATTTGAATCAATCATGTATTTAGCGATCATTTTGGTTTTTTGATTTCTGTCTTTCATTTTTTTTTTTTTTTTTTTGCCTATTATATGCGCATATATGTTGTAGACCCTCATTGAAGCATTCATCACGTCGTGGCAGCAAATCAGCAGTGAGTGACTTTACGCCCGAAGAACTATTTGCTGGGCAATTTGTGGTTTTTACAGTTTATGCCTTACTGGAGCTGCCACCAACGGTAAGTAAACAAGCATCACACAGCTCCCATACTCACTCACTCATACATACACATGCACATAGTCATTATCATTATTATTGAAAATTCATTCGAAATATGTTTGTTTACATGTGAACTACGATCAGGTTTTTTCATTGGTATAAAGTTATCAAATGATTCTCTGTATATGTTGTTGTTGTTTCAGACATTTAATCGTTTCAGTAAAACGTATCGATCGTTGAAAGATAAAAGCTCCAATTTAATGCAAAACATATTCGAGACTACCACTAATGATAAAGAGAATCGTGAAGGAACAAGTGATGAGAAAAGTAGAGAACCGGATAGTAAAAATAAACGAAAATCTATGGATCTTAATCCGAAAGATCCAATGCCGCCGTTAACCATTAGCGAAGCCAGGCGTAATTTAGGTAAGAAAATTGTTAAAAATTTGAAAGAAAACAAAAAAAAAAACGGTTTTTTTTTTTTTTTAAATTTCTCTGCAAAAACCCACTAATTTCATATCAATCAATTTAGGTTCGGTTACTTGCTATTTGGAACCAAAAATATTTCAACGTAATTCACGAGGCATTTATATCACCGAAGAACTGTGGCTACCCATTAAAGATTTAACAACAACTGTCAATAAGGGATCAAATAAGAACAACAATAACAATAGCAATAATGTAAGTATGGTCTCGTCTCTTCCCTCTCGCTGTTCTTTTCCCTTTTGGTTTAATGGTGCAAGAGATAGCGATAAGTGTTAGCGATTCGTTCTATTTTCTTTGGCTTCCTTCTTATTTAATATCAGTCGTACGAGGAAGCTTCTCAGAGACCCCACAAAGTGAATGAATTCTTGATCAGCAACAAATTCTGAATTGATTTAAGCATGTCCGCATGTCCATCTGTCCGATTGTTCGTCTGTCCGTCGATGGGAATGTCTTTTATGGACATGAAGCTACCAACTTTACATTTGCCAGAAACATGGGAAATTCTTGCACGCAGGCCGGTATTGAAAATAAGCAAAATCGGTTAAAGGACATGCCTACAGTAAGTGAGGACTCCTCTGTTTTTCAATAAGGAGTAAAAAATTGTCTTTTTGCATATTAGTCATAAACTACAACAGATAAATCTACAAAAATTTGAACGAAAATTCTCTGGGCAATGCTGTAGTATCTGTGCAAAAATTAAAAAAAAAAATTAATTACCCAATATTTTAGAGTAACGCCCAGAAGTAGCTTTAGAAGAATCTCCATTAAGTATATATATAAGTTTTTGGCCAGTTTCAAATTCGGAATGCACCTAAGCACCTAAGCTCACCTGTATGATATATCTGTCCAACTGTGTAGTATCTGTGGTAAAGATTATCCCGTTCGCAAAAATTGTAGATATCAGCAACACACACTTACAAAAGAATATGAAAATGACCCAAATTTTTCAAAGAACACCAGGCGATTAAATGTTACAAAAACTTTCACCGCCTTTGTCTTGCGTGTTTGTTGCTTGTTACCCATAGAGCACAAACAAAATAGAAAAAATCAACCGTGTCCAACCTAATGTTATCGAGTATGAAAATTTAGGTCTTTTTTCTTCTTTACTTGTTCTTACCTGTTTTTTTTTTTTTTTTTATTGCTTTAGTGAATGTCTCGTATACATGTAGGTATAGTGGTGGTTAGGAAGGTTTGTAGATAGAGGAAGATGTGAATGGGGAGAGAGCACATTGGTTTCGGAAGTGGCAACTTCTGGAATAGCATCAAAAATTACTGAAACTCGTTTATTTCAAAGGCGTGCAATACGTTTAAGCGATGACGAGTCAGGATAGTGTGCCACGCGGATGAGATTCTAGGTAATTTTAGAAGGAGAACGTTGGTAGAACCGAGCAATCCTGCCAAAGGACTGTAGCGGACAAATTTCTTTTATCTCTTTAGAATATTTGCCACACACATATATATATATAGATGAAAGACAGAAAAGCTCCGTCTACGTAATCAAAGTTGATTTTAGCCTTGATCGAATTCAGATGGTGCAAATGACACCGATATCGGCTGAAATAAAGTATTCTATTGACACGCTTTAAAAACCTAAGCCCTTTACCGCTTTTTCGCGCACTTCGACTAGCATTTATTTTGCATTCTTATGGGTAGAATAACATTAAGACGCTCCTATTTTATACGTTGATATTCACCAAAGTTATAAAGCGTTTGATTGGATAGGAGGAACCAAGAAGTATAACATATACATTTCCATTTCATTGCGCTTTTCGTTTCCCAAAAAAAAAAAAAAACGGAAGCGCAAAAAAAAGTGCCATAAATGAAAGCGCCGTGACCGCATTAAATTGAAGTGAAGTTTTAATAAGATGAGTTTGATCTTCAAAATGCTTCTCACTCCAGTCAGAGAGACAGTGCCGATATTAATGAAATAAAGAAGAACTCAATCAACTTCGATTGGTGTTCAACGATTACAAAGATCGAACAAGTCCTCATACTTTCGTATAGAATTGAAAAAAAAAAAAATTATTTTCTCCCAAATTTGAAATAGAAAGAATATTTAATGTCTTAATGTCTAAAACATTTTTTTTTTATCTAATAACTAATGTCTTTAGCATTTTACTTTAATTAAGTAAAGCAAACACTTTATTTCTTATATAAAGTTGTTTAATATCTTTTCTTGCTATTATTTAATTTATTCTTTTCCTCGTGTATTCTTGCAGTTAAGCAACGCCGCTAAAGGTGTTGTGGAGTTAGCTTTACAACTTAAAGATCTCAGTGAACCCATTGATCCCACATGGTGTAATGATAGCAGCGCTACCAGCACAAGTAGCACTACCGAGAGCAGTATCGCTGTTAATACGAAAGCTTTACAAAACGGTAGCACATCAGCATCGGTATCGGTATCGGTATCATCGCAACAAAAAGAAACGCATAATGTTAGAAATGCACAATCATGGAATCGTATGACCTCACAGGTCAAACGTAGAATGGGCATCTCTAATGTGAATACAAAATTAACGCATTGTCTGGCATTGAAGGTAACCACAACACGTATGCGTTGCTCGCATAAAGCTAAAGACGAGCTTGAACATACTGCTGGCAGTGTATACGTAAAGACAACAGTATTCGAACATGGCATCTATCTAGATTCGTGGAAATCGAGTAATTTCTATCCATCTCTATCTACCAAATGGGATGTGCCAGCCAATACGGACGCAGCCACCTTAACCATACCTTTACAGTCTATTCATAGTTTAGATCATATATTGATAAGGACCACGTTGGCTACAAAAACAAAAATAGGTAAAAAATTAGTGTTGGGTACGGTAGTTTTAGGCAAACATACAGCCGGCAATGGCGCTGAACACATACGAACATTGCGCGAGACACCACTAAATGAACGCGTTGCCATGTGGCATTGTTATCAGTAGAGCCGAAGAAGAGTGAGCAATATTATTTTATTTTTATTTATTTAGTACAATTTTGTAATGAGAAAAAATTAAGGGACATTTTGAACTTCATCAACAAGCAATGAAGAAAATGTAAAACTTGAAATAAAAGAAATTTATTAAAAATTAGTAAAATGTTTTTTTTTTTTTTTTTTTGAAACTTCTTATAGCAATGTAAACTTTAAATGTTTGGCGATTTGCGAGAAAAAGCAGGTAAATGAAAGTAAGTGCTTGTCCAAGCAGTTAAACCACTGCTAGTTGGCCATAGAAGATGTGTGTTTTCATTTGGCCTGTGCAAGCCGCGACTTAAGCAAATTTCGAATGCGGCCCAAGCGGAAAATTGAAATTAGAAAGAATTTGTGAAATTTCAAATTCGAATTTGAAAAGGATTTCTTATCTTACGCAACGTTAACAAACACTTTACGGTCTTCCCGAATAGACTGCTTTCGACTGGCGTTACTCTCATAACATTACTCTTATCAAGCCACGGGTGAAAGGTGACAATCTATAGATCAAAAAAAAAAAAAAAAAAAAAAAAACCTATAACTAATTCAATCGAGACAATTTACGTTTCGAGTAAGGGGCAAATGCGTGAAAAAATGTTCCATATTCCAAAGTGCTTTGTTTAAATTGGCAGCCTGTAAATTGTTTCCTCGCTTTCGTTCTGGAAATTTTATCGCACAACGCGTGACTCCCTACTCGTTGTTAAAGTCGCTAGGTTTCTAGACTTACAGAACGAGAAAAATCTTTTGAAACATACGTAGAGTATAACCATAGTTCTTGATTTTAAATTCTATCTTATATAGCAATAGACTCAAGTATTAATACTAATATATGGCACGTAAATATGAAACCGGAATTTGACAATAGATGAGCCAAACACTACTTGGGAAAGATAAATATGTTGATGGTTGTGTTTTTCGCATAATATCAATGTCTAGCTTTTCCTAAAAAGGAAAATTTCAAATTTTGTGCCAAGTAAAGAGCATTTGTCGGCAGCATATTTTCGTCGCCCAAACGATACAAGAGAAAGTTTTTTTTGCATAGCATGAAAAGTGGATGAATCTATATTTCTTATTGATAATCTCAAGTGCAAAAAATCATGAGGGATACAATCCACATCGACTGTGAAACTGAATCGCTTTGGCTGGTAGACGATATTCTATGTTCGTTGTGATCGGAAGGGTGTTATTAAACTAAACTTGAGTAAATATCAATGCCTTACACTACCAACAACAATTAAGAAATTTGATCTGTTCGCTGTTCAGAAAACCGGCGAAATATCAACAAATAAGAAAATTATATCACAATCTTTTATATCCATCACAGTTATCCTAAAGAAGACAGAGAAAAAGTTAATGAACTGAATTTTCATTCGCTATAATGTGGAGCAGGCGCGGCAGTTTTTTTCTATTTTAAAATAAAAGTTTTTGTCGCATGTGTCGTGTGTGCGTTGTAGGCGTGCCCTTGGAAAAGTTTAGGTCATTTCCAAATTCTTTTGCAAATTTGTAGCCAACATCTTCGGGAGAAATACTACACAAATGGGCAGATGAGCAGACGGACATGCTTTGATGCATTCCAAATTTGAAATTGGCCAAGAACTTGTATACCTTATGGGAATGTTCGCGCGTTATAAAGGTATTGAAAAAAAAAATTATATATTGATGCACTGTGGTATTGGGTAAGCGTGGTCCATTCTTTCCATTTCCGTACAGGGGCTATAGCATCGCCCAGAGAATATAGCAAAATGTGTAAAAAACTTGATTCCTTTTGAAAAACAAAGATGTTCTCAGCTTATCCGGTGGTGTGGGCGTGTGCTTCGACCGATTAGGCCCATTTTCAATATCACCCTGCGTGCAAGAACTTTCAATGTTTTTGACAAATTTGAAGTGGATAGCTTCACTTTCGTGGCCAGGAGAATGTTTATAGCAGAGATTGTACAAACGGATAGTTACATAGACGGACAGACCGACGTACTTAGATCGATTTAGAATTTGATGCTGATCAAGAATATGCTTACTTTGTGGGATATCTGATGCTTCGTTCTGGACGTTACAAACGTTTTGACAAACTGAATGTAGTCCTCATCCTTCGGTGATGGGTATACAACAAGGCAACAAAAGATAATTTGTTTACATGACATTCATTCAACCATCGGTGATTGAAATCAGTTTACGATATATTGCTGCTGCTTGCTCACGATACTCAAATCCTTTCGATTACCACTTGTTCGCATCGAAGATATATGCGCTTGTTAAGAGCACTTCAATTCTTAGGAAAATGTACAACGATGGCTCGGCGATTGCTTTGTCTCACAAAAGAGCAACGTTGTTTTTGGCTTAGCAGCAATATTTGTCAGACAAGTGGGAAAATGCTGCAGCTAGTGAATGAACGATATTTCGAATAAAATATTTTTTTATCTATTTTTATACAATAAATGTTTATTTTTGTATTTCAGTGGCAGTGTGTGTGCACAAATTTTCTATTTATCAAACGCATTGAAGACGAGTGTAACCCCGCAGAGGAAAGAGTTCCTTTAGTGACTCTAAGAGAAACAATCCTATCAAGAGACCTATACGAAGCTGTAAAAAATACCCTGCAACGATTTACTTTTCCCATCGCAAACATTTCTGGTAATGTTACGGACGGCGCACCGGTTATAAATATTCTTGCTTTTTAGACGTGTAAAATTAATATATATGAGGTTATGCACAAAAGTTGTAACATTGAGCGGCGTTCAGAAAGTTGCTATCAAAAGTATTAATTCAATGGAATATCAATCAATAATGTTATCGTCATAGATGTTAACTTTGGAAATATCGTTTGTTTTACTGCAGTAAGATGGCATCCTCTTCGAAGTGGATCTCCGTACAGGCGCGTCAACGTTTCCTCAATTTACGCTACAATTGTTAAAGTCGGTCTCTGGAATGATCTTTGAAATCTCTTTCAAGATCGATCGAAAGCGAAGAGGAGAGTACCTGCTTTGGACGCTGTGTAAATGTATTTTTTAAATGCACTCCTAGCATACATTGTGGGTAACGATCCCTAATGGTGGTTTCGGTTAGTTGGAGCGACATAGCTAGAGTGTCGATAATAATTCATGCTGCGTAGAATTGGTTCCACGAAACAAAGATAGCTATCGCATATACGTTACATATACACTTCGAAAATTTGCTGATGTATATATATCTGCTTGATCAGCATACGGTTTTTATGCTTAAAGGGATACTCTGTTCGCCCGTTTGAAGTTGACTGTTGTTGCTTGAATTCTCTGATAGAAAAAAAACGAAAGACAACAAAGGAAACTTAACTTTTGTTGTCAATAGTTTGTACACTATATCAGTAGATACCAGCCTGACATTACTATTAAGGCAATTAAATATACAGGTTAAAAAAACTGACTGATTTTCTGAGATGGTTACAATGGTAATGTGCTAGTATATGTTAAAACTGATTAATGATTTTGTTATGATTTAAGACGAACAGAGATTTCCGCCCGATAAAAAATAAAAAAAGCGATAGCCGAAATAAAATTAATTTTACTTGTAATGCTAGCAGGATCTCCGCTAGTAGCGCAACGAATCGATACATTTCTTGATCCAACTGATAAACTTTTTTATACCGTGAATATAAAATTCCCGATATTTTTAGTAGAAAAAAAATGATGTCCAAGACATTTGGCTGTGAATCACATTTATTTTTACTTTGGTAAATGTGCTATACGCTCACAGCTTCATCTATTAAATGAAAGCTGAAATTGTGGAGGGATTTTAAGCAAATTTTGAACGCGAATCATGACGGAACATTAAAGGAATGTCACCCAAGTGAAAAATGTTTCGCAAACTCACAGCGACATAAAACTTTTATTTTGTTTTTTGCTTATCACAATATATTTTGTAAATAAATTTACAAAGAATGGATTTAAAGGCTGCCGAAAACGTTAGACGTTGTGATCGTCTGCATAGAAAACTCTACCGCACTTGAGATTTGGACCCACGACCATTGAGTTACTAGTCGCAATCCTTTGCCTATTCGGCTACTCATGCGGATATACATATAAATATATAAAATATATTATATATATATAAATATATTTATATATATTATATATATATATGTAAATATATTTATATATATACCGAGATATATATACTTTTTTCATGGAGAGAATCTTGTATGTTACATGGGCATGAAATGTCGTTGAAAAGTCTACGAGCGGTAAGTTGGCCCTCGGTTTAATCAGCCATTCACAGCTTCTGAAGTCTAATAAAGCATTACCCATTTTAATCGAAATGTTAGTCCAACATCATTTTCAAATAGGCGAACGGACTGTATTGTAAGATTTACTTTAGGTGATGACATTTTGAAATAGATTCAATAGAATCGATAGAAATCAAATAGCTTTACTCTTGGGTAGTAATAAAAAGCACAAACTCATATCGTATTAGCATGTTGAAGAAAGGCAAAAAACTAAGATTCGCTTCTCAGAGGTACACTTAAAGTTAATTTTTGACTTTCAAACCACTCTACTCTTTTAAATCCTACAATGCCTAACTGTATGTGTTTACGTAAAGATGCGCCTTCACATTTATTATAAGATCTAAGATGATAAAATTACTTAAAGAAATCAACTCGTTAATGAAATCAACTGCGCTAAACTAAAATTAATTTAATTGGAAACGAAACGAAAAGATAAACAAAGAAAACAATTATCCGTAAAGAAATACTAATCGCATGCCATTTAGCAGTCAATAATAATTTTATCCTTGAATTTCAATTTCAATTTACAATTTATGTGCAACACGGCAGTCTAATTAAAAAAATTTTACCACAGACGCATATAAAACAAAAAAAAAAACAAACGATTGGACAAATACGGTACAAAAAAAAAAAAAAAAAAAATTGATTTCTAAGATAATAAGTGACGCCACACGACCAATAAGAAACAATAATAAAAAAAAGGGGAATAAAGAAAAAAAACGAAACACACATACACGGTACAAACAATGAACTGCATTTTGATATAACAAAATTAAAGCAACGGCAACAAGTGCAAATGGGTAAATGGCATCAAT